ACGCAGACTACTTTAGACCCGGAAGTAGGATTCGTCGCGTCATCACTGAACAACCGGATTGTGTTACTTCCCAACACTACTCACAGTGTATGTGTAAACCTTCAAAATAAAGCACAGATGAAAACCAACATTATGTTCATTATGACTCACGCTGGTACCTGGAAATACTCACTAAGCAAATCAAACAGGAGTAGTAGTGATATTTTTTTCTTCTCACATACACACGTTTGAAAAACATGATGCGTTAACTTATAGATTTTGCATTTTCATCCCAAGTTACAAAGCCTGAAATATAAGGTGAAGGTGCTCCCTCATGAGCGTGATAAAAACTTGCTATAGTGAGCGCGAAACTCACCAAGCAGGACCATAGAAGCCCAGCAGTCCAGGAGAAAAATGCAAACGCTCATGTACACCAACCAGCCATGAGATTAAAACCTGACTAATATCGTGACGATCCACGCTGGTCCTCCACAACAGCTCTGTGCAACAGCTTGCTGTCTGTTCACGTCTTGGTGTTAGCGTGGCCTCCACCGCTTATGCATCAAAATGTCACCACATGTTAGGGTGTAGCACATCCAACAGTGTCTCCTTCTGCTCCCGTCTCTTTCTCTTACATCCATGCTGCCATTTTAACTGATGCGCAAGTTGTCTTGTGTCTGCGTGCCCAGTGCTGCTGACTCAGAAGCACTCCGCCTTTGCTCTTCCACCAACCTCACCCTCCTACCCTCTCCCACCGTCTCTCTCCCCAGATTCCCAGTCTGAGCCACAGCGTCATCTCTCAGACCAGTTTCCGGGCAGAGTACAAGTCCACAGCTGGTCCGACGGTTTTCCAGAAGCCGGTGAAGTTCCAGGTGGACATCACCTACACCGAGAGCACCAGCGCCACAAAGGAGAACGGCATATATTCTGTCACCTTCACCTTGCTCTCAGGTAAACCACATACATCACAACACATAGAAAACCATGGAAACAACACTGCGCATCGAGGCATGCAGACTTGGTCAGGATGACCTGCTGAAGTTCAAGTCGAGTATCAGAATGGGGCAAAAGGGGATTTTAAGCATGGCAAGATTCTCTAGAGTTTACAGAGAACAGTCTAGAAAAGGAGAAAATATCCAGTGAGCAGCAGTTTACTGGGTGATCATCCCAGTCAGAGGAACAGCAAAGCCAGCAGCAACTCAAATAACTACTCATGGCAACCAGCGTATGCTGAAGAGCTTAATAATTTTACATGGAGTGCTGCAGCATTCAGAGGCTGGAGTCAGAATTGCATGTAAACAGCAAGAATGCATGACTCCATCCTACCTTAGTACCAGTTATTATTGCCACAGCTCAGATCATCTCTGACTGCTTTCTTGAACATGGCAAGGAGTTCAGTCTACCCCTCTGGGGTCTTTTTGTTAGATCTTTGGGGGAGCGAGAGACTGGTGTCATAGATCTGAGGAATGTTTTCAGCACCTTGGTGAATCTGTGACAGACCTGAGGGCCAAAGGAGGTGCAACCCAGTCGTAGCAAGGTGTACCTAAAAAAGTGTCTGGTGAATGAGTGTAGATCAGGCGTGTCCAACTCCAGTGTGTCGGAACAAGGACGCATCTAAAAGCTGCAGGACGGTAGCTCTGGAGGACTGGAGTCGGACACCGCTGGTATATTAAACAGGAACAAACATGCACATTTCTGCTTTGGAGAACTCGTTGGGACGCCTCAGCAACACGAACAGGGACTGTTTTCTTCTTTCCTGTGACACTGAACACAGCACTGTGCTTTTCAGTGACTGTTCTGCTCACAACCTACAACCATTTGGAGTAACTTACTGTAGCTACCACTTACAGCATGTTTATGTATGTGTTACTCACACACCAGGGAAAGCTTATTACCTGAAGCTAAACCTGCGATCTATAGCACACGTAGGTAACACAGGTTACCCGCAAGAGGTTTAGCAGTCTCTTACATTGCTGTTGCTGTCCATCAATCTGGAAAAGGCCTCTCCAAACAGCTTGACCCCATCATTCTGCACTGAGAAAGACTGTTCAGTGGAAAGTTTCCAGGAGAAAGCCCTCATGTTTGCATGTTCTGAAAGGACCACAGTACTTCTGTACGATGCCCTTTTGGCACACAAGGCCAAGATGTTTGGCATGTTATTGGACAGCACAGAGTCCAGCTGTTGGTGGGGGAGGGGTGATGATTTGGGCTTGTTTTACAGCCACAGGACCGGGTTACTTTGCAGCTTTTGAGTTGACCATAAACTTCTCTGTGTACCCAAGTATTAAAGTGTTAAATCTGGAGCCAGCTGCTAAAGCTTAGCCAAAATGGTGTCATTTAGGAGGAAAGTGATCCCAAACACAGCCAGCAAAAAGAACCAAATCCAGAAGTCAGCCTGAAATGCTGCTGAACCTTAAGAGAGCCGTGCATCGGTGAATGCATAGGAACCACAACAAACTGAGACAACGCTCCAAACAAGCCGGTGTGAGAGACTGAGAAAGTCTTACAGACAATAGTTCAGATTACTGCTGCTCAATATACTGAATCATGGGTTGCACTTAGTAGAAAGCCAAAAGGAAACAGAACAGCCATCAGAGATTTGCCTGTGGTATCAGGTGATGTGGGCTTACATCTGCTGTGACTGCTGGCTGAGCTGAACCCGTGGACTGCTAGTGCTAACACTAAATGAATTCAGTGGGAAACACACAATATTGAAATTATGCTTGCGAAAACCACTCGTGCACCCCTAGTATTGCTTTTTTTAAGTACTCCTTGCAGCCCTGTGGCTACAGTGTCAAGTCTGGATTATAACACGGACCCGGTTTCTCAACAGGCCCTAGCCGACGCTTCAAGCGTGTGGTGGAGACCATCCAGGCCCAGTTGCTCAGCTCCAACGACCAGGCTGGCATCCAGCCACAAATATCCGGTAAGTGGAGTCCCTCGCCACTCGTCCTCGACCACGCCTACAACCCCCACCCTCCACGCCCTCACAACCTCCCTCCCTCCTCGCATCACAGCACAGCCACACCTGCGGCCCACCTCGGCTCAGCTTAGCCCGGCGCACTGCTTTTAGCACACGGCATTTCCACGTGCATGTCCCTGCCACATACCATGGTGTGCACGTCAACACACCAGCACACACACACACAGTCTACATGGCAGTGTTATGTACTGAGATGTATATATACATTCACAGGACTGATTACAGCCACTAAGAAGTGTATCTCAAACTGTCAATAATTCAACATAGACGAGCAGCTTGGCTCTGACCTCACACTTGACTCAGCAGAAACACACTCTCTCTCTCACACACACACACACACACACACACACACACACACACACACACACACACACACACAC